CCCCAAAACCCCAAAACCCCAAAACCCCTTAAACTAAGAAAATTATTGAATTTATTCTATTTTAGATATTTTGATGTGGCTGAGGTTCAAGGAATCTGCTTTTGATATCATTGATGAAAGTTGTGCCGAGCAATGAGGTCCGAGATGTATCTCTTTGAGAGAATCTTTTAGCTTTGATCCTTTGATGGCTTGTAAAATATAGTTTCCTTGGCTTGAGAAGTAAGGATTTTGATAATATTCACTAAATTCGAGAATTTTTATCTGAAACTCTGTGTCTTTGTTGAGGTTAATTTCGTTTATATTGCAATAATTTGCTCCAGTGATTGTTACCTTTTCTGACTGAGAGCAGATGTTCAAAAGCTTCTGAAGGTCACCTCCACTAAACTTCCATATATCAAATTTCACTTCTCTAGGGTTGATTATGCTATTTTTTGCGATAAAGAAGACAATACTGATTGAATATTGCAGTCTCCCCATTTTTGGGCCATGTCTCAATCTAGATAAATTCTTTCAATATTTGAGATAAATGATCTATTGAGGAAATTGGATACTTCAATGATATTTGTGTGTCAATTTTTTAAGACCAATCTCTTCAAATCTTTCACTGGTGTGTTATTTCTGATAATCTCATGCATGAGTTTGATATCCTTATCAATACTCAAATCAATCTCCAAGTCTTGTATAGTATCTGTTTCAAGGATTCACTCCTTTACTTTCTCATACAATCTATCGAGTTCAGACCTATCTTGTATTCTATCTAAATATCTCAGTGTAATTTTCTTAGCTTCCTGGTTCTCTTCAGATTTCTCTGCAACAAGGGAACCATCAATTACCTCAAGATCTGATTCTTCTTGAGGTTCATCATGACTTGCAGTTAAGTTATATTTGATCATAAAGCTGCAATATTTCTGAAAAACTTTACTCCCATTAATCTGCTTGCTCAGCTTGAGAATAGATTTGAGGAAATAATCAAACTCTAAAAAACTATCTTCTTCCACTGCTGCCTCAAGGTTTGTTTGAATAATTTTGATCTGGACAGATAATCTGCGATGAACTCATCTATTCCTTTTGAATGCATCTCAAGATTCAGACTCTGCTTGTCCTGCTGCATCTTTTTTAGTAAACTCTTGAGATAGGTGAAGTTTCCTCTAATTCTATCAGGCGTTGTGATCTCTTCGGTTCTTCACTCATCGTGATGTTTGTCTTTGCAGCCATAGCATAGAACAACATTGTGAGTGATGCAGTGCACTCTTCTCTTGGATTTGCAATTCTTAGTCAGTCAAGTTTTCATTGTTGTGTTGGTAATTCCTGTCTTGGGTATATATTTAAACCTAATTATTAAAGCTCTCGTTCGGTTTAGCAATCAAAAATTTTCAATTTCAACGATTTTTGATGAACCAGGGGTTTTGGGGTTTTGGGGTTTTGGGG